TCTCTCTCTCTCTCCCTCTCTCTCTCTCTTACGCTTTTCTGCGTTCCTCTTTGGTGCTCGTTTCATTTAATCAGCCTTGTTGTCCCGAGCATGACATAGCTGTAACGACAAAACGAGGGATGCTTTCATGTAGATCTCGACCTTCTTCTCGGGATTTCATCTTGGGTTTTATCATGTCATGCTGTTATTCTTTCCGTGATTGATATTTAATTTCTGACACGTGCCCCGAATGCATTTATACAAAAAGAAATTGCTTTGCAGATTTTGTAAGTCCTGACATCGTCTTCTGCAAAAGACATTACTCTGGGCCACCAATTTGTTTGCCATAAATAACTTCACAAATAAGTCATATCTCGTAAGTGTCGAAACTAAGAGGTGTTGTTGCCAAGAGTGGATGCAGTATTTTGTTTCCACTGTACATGTACGAGACGTCTCTGACACAACTTAATTATAGTATGGTAAAAAATGTCAAAAAACAAACAAACAAACAAACAAACACAAAACGGGCAGCCTTTGATGTCTTCGTAAAAAAAAGTCAGAGCTAAAGTTAAACCAAAAGACGGAAACCACCATCAAACCAAATCATGTCATTTGGCCTCAGAAATAGGTTTGGAGATATAAAATATGGTGCACGAGACAAACTTATCACATTTTCAACAATGCCGACCTTTCCTTTAACGTGGCATGAGGAATACGTGCCCAAGGAGATTGTTGTATTCATCCAAAGACTGAGTCACTATCATCATCATCAACTTTAAACTCATTGTAGGTAGCAGGGAATAAAAAAAGGGTTTGCGACTAAGTAGATTTTTCAAATTTAATATAAGTTCAACGTTTCGCCCTATAAAGGGCTTCGTCAGGAACTTGTACAAAAAATAATGGAAAATCTATTGACTACAAGCTATAGGAACAAAAATGCGCGCATACACGTCATAATGTCAAAAGGTGAGATAAAAACAAATCGGGAAGACCAGAGAAAATTGAAGGCTATTGCAAGAAGTGGTAGATTATGAATAATATAAAAACTCATAAAAAATCACATATGGTTTCGTTGTCACTTTTTGGGTGGGTCTGGTTGGTGGGCTTCACTTCTTTATTTTCCCTCTGTTATTTCTGTCTGTCTCACTTTATGCTTGCACTAAATAAGCACTATTGTGCCTATGTGCATCTGTTTACTCAAGTTAACGAACAAAAATTTTCGCTGAAAGTATTTTTAACTCAAGCACTGCGGATGTCAGTCATAGGAATACGGTACAAACTGATGGAGAAAGAGAATGTATGGTCAGCAAGGTGTTAAATTTCAATGTTAAATGTACGACGTCCATTGTTTTCAGGGCAGAGAAAAACAATTGCATCTACATAGTGTATCTTTTCTTCAATATTTAAATTTGTACTTTGAATTCGGACTGAATATTTGTTGATTATGCACTGTCGATACCACAGATTAAAAAATGCAATTATTTTAAAAGTTCAAAATTGAGGGCTAAATATTTATATAAAACTGCTTTAGATTGAGCCTGATACCCGCCAGTGAAAAGCGGAACCTTTATATTTTTCCCTCAGTTGTTACTCTTACAATCTTGTTTTGTTGTTTTTTTCTTGTCTTCTAAATAATAGTATCGTGTCAGTGAAGTTTTGTTTACTCTATATAAACGAGTTACATAATATAGATAACAGAAAATGGTGGGTGCTCCGTGTTAGATATGCGTACGAATTGTACACTTGACATTCATTTTTTGCGTCATAATATTATCGTTCAGTTCTTGAATCCGATGTTCTATGCATGTCATTCTCTAGCAATACCTCTAATCTTTGGAACTTGGACTCGTATTATATTACATAAGTGTGTTTTGTGTGCCTTTAAACAAACCCTTACTAAAACAAAACTTTTGTAAAAAGATTGCCACAAATGTATTTTCTTACTCATTTTCACAATTTTTTGTGAATTCCCTTGATTAGGAATTACTGTTAGTCACTGCCTAAGTTAGGGACTCCAACTGTGCGTTCACTTTCAAATGACCAATTTTCGATATCAACAAAAAATCTCAGCAATACAACAAAGAAACAAATATCGTGTGATTCATGAACGTGGTAGAGCGAGTGAAAGACACGGTACACTGAAGATCAATTTGAAAGTGGAAGTAGTTGTGGTGCTGTGCCCTGTTGCCAGGGGACTTTCGCCATGACCAAGTCCTACGACCTGAGCGGTTCCCATGGCGACAAAAATGTCTCTTTCTCGAGCTCCGCGGCTCTTGAGCCAGAGGCAGGCCCTGTGGCCACCATTAAGACAACAGACCTGAGTGAGAAGACCAACGGTCACAGCCCGGACTCCCAGAAACTGGGAGACGTTGGCGGGAAAAGGGAGGCTGAGAGTGGGCAGGACGGAAAGAAGTCGTAAGTGCTGACTGATACGTCCTTTTGAGTTTGGAACTCATTTGAGTGTGCGTGTGTGTGTGTGT